TGAGGCCTAAATTTCAAGGGAACGGACCGACAGAAGGCAATCGAGCAGGCCCCCGCCGCCAGGCAGGGCGGGCGGAGAAAGAAATAATGATTGATGGTGATGACGATGATGATGATGATAATGATGATGATGATGATGATGATGATGATGACGGTGATGATGATGATGCTGATGATGATGATGATGATGATGATGACGACGACGACGGTGGTGATGATGCTGCTGCTGATGATGATGATGATGTTGTATAAATGCGTCGGCTATGGCGGCGCGTGCACCAACATAGGGCGAACACGACGGGTGCGCCGCTGGCTGCTCGGTAGGAGGCCCGCGCTCCTGCGGGGCCGACGACGCGCGGGGGGAAGGCGGCATCGGGCGCCGACGCCCAGTCGCCCCGCCGCGCGACCGAGCACGACCACCGGGCGCGCCGCCACCACCACGCGCTTTCCAAAAGCACCCGACGAGCGCCCCCAAGCGCGAGCCACACCCCACACCCCAAGAGGACGGGCACGGGCGGAACCGAGCGAGGCGAGCGCCCCAAGGCGCGAGTCAGACAACCCCCCCCGGGCGGGTGGGCACGAGCAGGAGAGAGCCCAGGAAGAAAGCCGAGAGCGCCGTGCGAGCCACCGCGCGCAGCACGCCCCGCAGGGCACAAGTTGGGCACGGGCGGGCAAGCGGAAGCCGAGCGCGCGCCCATTCCCGCGCGCCTTGCGGGTTGACACAAATATACTCCAACACCTGCGAGAACGCCGCGCGCGGGGGCGCACTCGCGCGCCCCCCGCGACCCCGATGCGGCGCAACCCCTCGAAAGGGGGGGGGGGGGGGGGGGGCTCTTCGCGAGCCCCCCCCCCCGCCTCTCCGCGCGCGGATGCGCACCGCCCCTGCCGATCGCCCCCCCGCGCGGCGCGGGCGCTCTCGCGCGCCACGGCGCCGCGCCTCGCGCGCCCCCGCGCCGCGCCGCGCCACTTCCATGGCCGCGAACAACGAAACTGCAAAACCGCGCAAACCGCTCACACTGCGAATCGCGCGCCGCCGCCTCTGCATTTATCGGCCCTGAAAAGCGCGCTTTATGGGCGACATAAATGCCTCGGCCATGGCGGCGCGTGCACCAACATCGGGCGAACACGACGGGTGCGCCGCTGGCGGCTCGGCAGAAGGCCAGCGCTCCTGCGGGGCCGACGACGCGCGGGGGGAAGGCGGCGTCGGGCGCCGACGCCCAGCCGCACCCCGATGCACGCCCGATGGGGAAGCCCCCCCCGCGCCCCGAGCAGCCCACGCGCGCGCTGCGCCGCGCCTCGCCAGCCCGATGCACACAACCAAACGCTAGGCCACAGCTTCCCCCGCGGAGGAATCGGAAAGCTCCACCGCGTGCTCGGCTGCGAGCATTTCGCCGGTCGTCTTCGCCGACGCGCAGGCGAAAGCGGCAACGGAACGCCGCCAGCCCTGCGCGAATAGCGCGGCGGCGCCACCTCCGCAGCAGAAATTGCGGCGCCGGCACCGGCGCGCGCTGTCCGCCGCACCTTCTCGGAGATCTCGCCCCCTCGCCCCCTGCGAATGCAGTGCGTTCCCCGCTCGGCCGCCCTGGGTAGCCCTATGCGCGCTGCGCCGAGCTTGACCTGCGACGCAGCGCCCCCCGCGCGCGACTCCCCCGAGCAGGGCGGGGCCGCGCCATCGCCAGGGCATCGCGATACGACGCGCCCGGGGACATCAGCGACCTAGGCCCTGACCACCGCTTATGGGGGACGCACGCCCCGCAAAGGCGACGGCCTCGACATGGGCGGCCGCTGCCGAACGCGCGCGGGAACGAATCGCGGCGGCGCGCCTTGCAAGGAGCAGACGCAGACCCGCCAAACCTGGTCCGGGCCCCTGTGGCGCTTGCTATCAACCAGCTCGATGCACGCCTTGCGGGCGCCTTTCTCTGTGCATACCTGCCGCGCCGTTCCCGCGGACGCCGCGGCCCTGCGGGGTTGCCGCCCCCTTGGGGCGCGCGCGCCAGGACGGGCGAGTGACCCACGGCATTGAGCCCCGCCAATTCCGTGCCGAAGCGCAAGCAGAACTGGCGGGCGACGACGAAAGCATCTGGCGCGCGCCGCGTCTTCGCCGGACCGGCGCCCCCCCCCCCCCCCGCCGGCGCAGCGGGCGGGCAGGCCCGCCTGCAATGTCCTCGCGCCCAGCTTCGCTGCAGGCCCACTGGGCCAAATCGCGGACCTCCGAGCAACCGGAACGCCGGGCGGGGGAATCGGACCGGGACCCCAGGGAACGCGCCTGGACGGCCGTAACCCTAGACTTGCACCTGCCTCCATCGCGCGCCGCCCACTTCAATGCACCCCGAGACAGGCCCCCCGCGAGCGCGAGCGCCCCCGCGTCACCGCGGATCAAAGCCAAGACCGAGCGCACCCGGCTAACATACAGGACCAGACTCCCGGCACAGCGGCAGATTACGACCATGATATCGAGGGAACCCTACTGGGGCGGCCACGGCGGCTCCCGGGCCGCGCGGCACGCCAGGCCCCACAACTCGACCGCCGTTGCATAAGACCGCGCGCTCTTGCGCCATTGACCCATCTCGGTCCAGATCGTCAGCTCCCAGAAGCGAGCCTGGGTATAATCCCCCAGGGGCACCGCGGCCAGCATGGGCCCCCTCGCCACCGGGGTGCCCAGGGGAGCCAAGATGCCCGCCGGGGGGGCCCTCGTCTCGGCCAGGGATCTCAAGCACGACGCCAGGACTTCGGGTGGAGGCGGCACACCACACTGCCTCGCCTCGGCCAGGACACGTAGCGCACAAGCTGCAGAATCAGGCATGCCACACGCAGGGGGCCGCGCTGGCCGGCTGGGGAGCGGGTCTACCGCCACTTTCCCCGAACGCACCTGCGACGACACGCGGCCGCGCGCGCGCTCCCCTCCCCGAACGCCCCCGCCCTGCAGGGGCAGCAGGGGAGGGGGGGAAGGGGGGCTGGACCGGGTCGCGCTCTGTCTCGACCACAAGCTTCCTCTTCTCGCGCACCCGGACGCAGGCCACGACCTGGTCTGCAAGCCCCGGCGGGTCCATCAGGGCCGGCCAGATAATTGCAAATTCATCGCTCGAGAGGCCGTCGAAATCACCAATTCCTTTGACCCCGCCCTGCCCCATGGCCAGAGCGAGCACGCTGGGGCCTGGGGGGCACGCCGGCGGCATCGCGTTTGCCGCGGCGCGCAACAGTCCAGGAAGATCACCATAAATGGGAGGCGCGCGCGGCATCGTAGCGTCGCTAAACGAACCGCGCGGAATCAACGCGACTGCCTGACTGCGTCACGGCGCGCGCGTCCGTCCGCACGCGCAACTGTGTAAATTGTTACGTGCGCTAGCATGAGCCCCACGGCGCTGCGCAGGGCCATGGCCACGCCACCTCGGTGAAACCCTCGCGGCCCATGGCCGCTATTTCGGCCGCCTTCGTGGCGGGCCGCGCGGGGGCGCCCACGACGTCGAGCGCGGATGGCACATGCCACGCGCTCAGAAGGCACCGCGCGGCAGCCGCCGCGAACCAGATGTCGGCCACCAGCGCGCCATGATCCGGCTGGCGCGAGGCGCCGCGCAGGAGCACCCCGAGCGCGGCCTAGCGCGGCCTGGCGCGGCCGGCGGGGCAGCGCGCACATGCCCCGACGAACCGAGCGCGGCTGCGCCTTTGAATCCACAAACGTCACGATTTCAGCGTCGCGCAGCGGCGAAAGCAGATGGCGCAGCGCGAATACTGCCGCGACGAGTTCCCACGTTGCGACCTGCTACACACGACGGACCGCATGCCCAATCCCGCGCGGCCGGCGGGGCGCCCCCGCCTGCGTCTTGCGGCGCCGCGCCCACCGTCTAATTGGCGAGGGCACGCCGGCCGCCGCGCATTGCCTGCAGCCGGGCCCGATGATGACCCACGCCAGCCTGCGGTGGAGGCGTGGGCCGGGTTGGGCCCGCGCTGGGTCTGGCGGGCGCACGCGTTCGCCGCCTGCCGCCTCCCGTCGCGTCGGGATACACGAGGTAGCGGGGCCGGCTCGGGCCCCCCGCAGGGGCACCGCACGTTCTGGCGCGCTCCGGAGGAAACGCAGCCACCATTCCAAAGCCCGGCGGAGCCGCAACTTCAGTTTCCACCCCCGCTGCTGCGCGTGCCAGAACAACGGTGCGAGGTATACCCGGGCGCCCGCCGCAGCGCCCGCGCGCGCGTTGCCTGCGCGCGGGGGCCCTCGCGCGCCTCTGCCGAACACCGCGGTGGGGCCCCACCCTAATCTGCCAGCGAGTTTGGAGGGGGCCGCCGGCGACATCCGCCCTGCCGCCAGCGCCCCCTCGATCTCTCGGGTCCACTTGTCGCGCCTGTCGGCACCGATCGCGAACACGAGCGATAGCTCCTCGCCCGAGCCGCGCACTTCCGCGTCGACTCCAAGCAAATTCGCCCCCGGTTCGGCCACGACGCGCTCGCCGGCGTCGACTCGCCAGCCCAAGATCTTCGACAACCGCCCTCAATACCTCGGCGGCGTCGCGGGGGCCGCCCGCGCCGGGCCCTCCGTCGGCGCCGGCCCGGAACAGGTCGTCGACAAAACGCCCCGACGCAAGCCAGAATAACTTAGCAAGGATCGCCTGCCGCGCGCGGAGCGCGCACTGCGACGCCGCGGCGGCCGCGCCCCGCGCCTGGAGCGCCGCCCCAACGCGGCCCCAAGCGCACCCGCCCCCCACGGCGCCGAACGGACAGCACAGGAGTTGCAAACAATAGCCCTCGTTGGCACCCTTGGCCCATGCCGCGCGGGCCAGCGGGAGGTCGGCGCCTCGCACGGGCAACGTCTTAGAAGCCCCAACAAAATCTTCCTTGCTCAGCAAAGGTGCACCGGCCGCGGCTGCGATCCGCGCCAACTTGACCAGAGCGTGGAGAGAATCGACCCCGCGCGCGGCCGCGGCAACAGGAGGGGGAGCCGAGGGCGAGCCGCGCGCGCCAGGGCCCACCTGCACCTTTCGGCTGCCACGGCGCAGTCATTCACTCCCGCAGCGGAAAAGTCGTCAATCGCGCGTACCTGCGCTTCCCAGCCACCGGAGCAGGGCACGGGGGGGCTGCTATCCGCGGCGAATGCGCCCCTCCTTGCGCGCCCAGCCCGATTCCTTCCAGCGCCATCCCTCGTCGACAGGGAAGCGCGGGTTCAATATCGCCCCCCGCGGTAAATCAGACAGACGCACCCACGTCGCCTGACTCGCGGCTACCTGCATACGCGCAGGCGCCGCGGCCAGGGCGGCCGCCCGCGCAGGTTCGCGCGGCGCGCGCGCGCCTCCTCGCACGCCTTCTGATTCAATATCTGAGGGACTTCCGCGTCGGCCCCCAGGTCCCGACGCACTAGCTCGAGAGTGGCGGCGTTCAAATTGTCCGCCCGGCCGCGCAGCTCGGACGGGCACGCGGCTTCTTTGGGGACCGCTTCTGATTTCATGCCCGAACGCGGCAGGACGCCGACCAGCGGGAACCCTTCTTCCAAATCGCGCGGCAAATAGGAGTCGGGCGCCTCGCGCGCAAGGCCGCGCTCCGCTGGCGCGCGCCCGCGGCTTGCAGCATTTCGGCCAAGAGCAGTAAATTCTTGTCAGGCCCTAGGACGGAACGCACGTGCCATGGCAAACTCGCATAGCGCGCCTCCCCACCAGCGCACTGGACTTGGCGCGCGGTTCGGGCGTGCCGGGCGGCGCCTCCCATGCTGGAGCCGTCGCCCGTTTGCGCTCCTGCCAGAACTGCAAGGCCGCCTCGCGCTTTTGCTGCATGAATCGGTCTGCCGTCTGGCTTGCCGCCACCGCCGCGTCGAGCGCAGCCCCGGCGAGCGGCGCCATTTCGCTGACCCGCGGCAGATGCACCGCCCAGGCCACATGGTCGAGGGGGCCCATGCCCGCCATCGCGCCTTCGTCGGTAAGTAACGCTTCCACGGCGGCTTTAAGCTGCACGCGCGCGGCGCCGCGGCAGCATCCTGGCGCGCCCCCGTAGGATGATGGGCGCGGGCCTTTTTAAATGCGCAGCCAGCGTCGTGAATTTGCCGGGGGCACAGATCGCCACCCCCGCCCTCGACGATCGTTGTCGGAATCGGCATTCGCGCCCTGCGCTGCGCACGCGACGGGCGGCGCGGCCCTGGCCGCGGCGCCCCCGCGGCGCCTCCTGTCCCTCGGGCGACGGCCCTCGCCACGCTGCGCTCTCACCGCTGTCGGCAGGATGCAATGGGGGGGGCCCGTCGCCTGCACGGGTCGCGGCGCGGCAGCAGCGCGGACGCGCCCGCGGACCGCGCCTTGGGCAAGCGAACAGGTGTCATGCACCGCGCCAACGCCCTGGCGTCACCACCGCCAGGTCTCGGTCTTCTTGGGCTTGTTCCACGAGCCCCCCGCCTTGGAAGCCTCGGTCGATTCCCTGCGCGGGCTCCTCGACCGCCGCTTCACTGGCGCGCGGGGCTTCTGCGCGCCCCCCTCGCCCTCGCCGGACTTGCCGCCCTTCGGGCCCTGGCCTTTGGCGGCGCCGGGGGCGGGCCCGGAGCTCCAGCCGCTCGAGCGCTGCCCAAACTGGGTCGGTCTCACACGCGCGCGCGAACACGAAAGCGAAAGCGCGCGCCCGTCGCGCTGCGCCTGAAGTCGGAGGAGCCTCCTCCAAGACTGCGCCCGGGCCTTGCCCACGCCCTTTGACTTGTTCAGGACGTGGGACTTCGCTTCGGCCAGGACGTCCCAATCGAAACCGGCGAATAGGTCGGCCACCGCCGCCCCCGCGCCCGCCTGCTCCAGGCGCCTGGCGGCTTTGCGGCGCATGCGCAAATCGCACTCGAAGGCGGCTCTCGCCGCGCTCTTCCGATACCTGCGCGGGAATGGCGCCGCGAAGGAATCGGAAGATGGCTGATGATGATGAAATGATGAAATGTGAATCGGAAGATCGACAACACTCCCGAATGTGAAATGGCTGATAATGGTGATGATGATGATGATGATGATGAGGAGGAGGAGGAGGAGGGGAGGAGGAGGGGGAGGGAGGAGGAGGAGGAGGAGGAGGAGGGGGAGTAGGGAGAATGGGGAGGAGAGCTGAGGAGTGAAGGGGGTGGCGGATGAGAAAGAGGAGAAGGACAGGGAGACCAACTTCAAGAAGGGATAGGAGGAGGAGGAGGACGACGACGACGAGAATGATGAGGAGAGGAGCCAAGAGCGCAAGAGTAGGCGACAACTGCCCCCGGGCGGCTGGCCTGTGAGCATGTGCGTCATCATGATCGGCGCCCCGATGGTCAGAGCCTCGACCGAAGTGGGCGGCATCGAGGCAGGGGCCGCTGGTGTTGCTCCTCCTCATGCTCCCCCGCCCCCCCCCTCACCCTCCTCTCTCCTCCTCCTCCTCCTCCTCCTCCTCCTCCTCCTCCTCCTCCTCCTCCTCCTCCTCCTCCTCCTCGAAGGTCAACACCAAGCTTGGAAGGGAGCTGGGCCTGATGGAGCACGCTTCGCCGTTCATCATTGGGCAGTTCCCGTATCAGAAGAACTACACCGAGCTGCAG